AAAGGGTAAAGGAAATTTAAAAAATTAAATTGCGCGTATATATATATATATATTATATATATATATATATATATAATTTTTTTTTTTTTTTTTTCCATTCTCAAAGCTTGACAATTCTCATTTCTAAAAAAATCAATCAAAGACACGGAGTAAGCGTGCACAAGTTATACACCCTTGTACGTACTTTTGTGGATTTTTGAATGGAATTTTGTGATCTTGTGTGCGAAATTAGGATGAGAATATTTTTCGATGGGGACAATTTTCGATCGATCGATCGAAAATTACACGAACCGGTCAAAAAGATACAATTTATTGCAAACTCTCGACATATCGCAACGGTATACAAGGACACGGCTTGCGCAAACATTGCTTGTGAGTTTCTTCCGGGATAATACAAAATGCTTTCGACTTTTTTTCTTTTTTTTTTTTGGTCATCTTTCAAAAATAATAATAATAATTTTCTCTGTTTTCTGAATTTTATTAAAAATTTCACGAGAGAGGAAGAGGCCGTGTTACGTATACCCCGGAAGAGATAGCATTTTCATTACGATTCTTTATTTTAGACAAAGATAAATAGTAATAAGAGAAAGAGAGAATGAAAGAATGAGAGGATGAAAGAATGAGAGAAAAATGAAAAATTCCTTGAAGAACGAATAAAAAAAAAAAAATGTCACGAGTACTTTTCAAACGAACATTCGGTTTTTTTTTTTCTTTTTTCTTTTTTTCCTCGTCCGCTTTTTATTTCAGCCATTTTGCCGGACCGGAAGATGCGTATTTCGATTCCTTTCCAGTTTTCATACCGTAAAATATCTTACGAAGAAGCCCGTCGTTGCTCTCCTTCATCGATTTTTGGATGATCTATTGGCTATATATTGTGACAAGAATTACGAATCGATCGTAAGAACGATGCTCGTCCTTTTTTTCTGTGAAAAAAAGATGCGAAACTTTTAAAAGGTTCTCTTTCGCACGGAAAGCGATCAAATGAGAATGAAAAAAGAACGAGAGAGAAAAAAAGTAGACGACAAAAGGCGGTACAATAAGAACGAAGAACGAATGCATTTCACAAAAAATACGAAAAAAAAATGTGAAAGTGTGAGGCATAATTACTATTTCTATAATTGCGTATGATATTTGATCGATCGTACGGAATGGAAACGATTTCCAAAAAGGGAAAAAAAAAAAAAAAAAGAAAAGAAAGAAAAGAAAAGGAGAAAGAGAGAAAGATGGACAACCTCTTGTAAAGTAATTTGAGTGCGAAAAATTTCGAGATGTGAAAGAAGGGTGAGAAAGAGAATGATGGAGAGGAGGGGGAAGGAGGGGACTTGAGAATCGTAAAAGTTTGCGAACGGCATTGTTTTTTCCGTGTAAAAGCGAGCAAATCTTTATGAGAACTTTGTAAGCTTCCTAATAAAATAGCATTTAATCGATAAACTGGCAAATATATCTTGATTGTTTGCGGTCTTTATAATTTCTGTCTCCATCTCTACAACGATTATTCTCAGATTATTTTGAGAATTCTTTCGATTCGTCAACACTGATCGTCGAAAGTGGATTTGACTCTCGGATTGATCTGATTCCGATTTTTTATCATTTATTTTTGAACTAAAAAAATGCATATAACTCACACTTTCTTAATTATCGCGAAGTTATATCCTCGCTAATTTTTGGAATTGACTTGAAACTCCAATTTTTGACTTAGCACGTGTCTTTAGAAGCTTAGAAAATGTGTAGAAGAAATACATTATTATATACTATTTTGTTTAAAACGAATAAATTATTGCAAAAATTGAGAGAAAAATTGATAAATTATATTATAGTTCATATTCTGGATAATATTAAAAGAACATATCTGAAACTTTGGTTTTTTTTAATTAAAAAATGATGGAAAAAATTTCCAATTAGACTGTAGATAATTTGGAATAGTGGTATGGCAAGTTATTTTTTCTTCTACAAAATTGAAGAAAATAAATATTTATAGAAATTATTTTCTTTTTATGATTTAATCAAGAATTATAATATCAATTTCTTCAATCTTAATTTCCATAAAATTTTGATATCTTAATTCTTCATCACTAGAATTTCAATATAATCAATAGTCACTTCTCAAAATTAATTAAATACAGTTAAGAGTTAATCATTTTATTTGCAAGTTGATTAATCAATGTTTCTTCATCATTTACTAATCTAAATAAAATAACCTTTGGAATATTCCATATTTAAAATTATTTTCATCTTCAGAATTTCGAATTAGCAATATGAATATTGAAAAATCTAAAGTCTTGTGTCATATTTTATATTTTGGAAGAAATATATTTGCAAAATATAAAATTATAAAATTAAAATGTAAATTTAATTCAATGATTGAACATTTATTGAAAAATTTTTGGAAATTGAAATTTTATTCTTCTGCAGATTAAAAAATTAAAAATATCAAAATTATAATTTGCTTTACACAAATTTCATTGTCTCTTATTTTTTATAATGCTATAAATTAAATAACATTAGTAGTTTTTTAATCAAATTTCTATCTAGTCTTCTAAATATTTATATTTAAATCTTTATTTTTATTTTAAATTAATATTTTTATGTTTTGTTTAAATTTATAAGTAATATATTATAATTTATATTTAATTAATTAAAAAATTTTTAGTTTATTATTTAACTAAAAATTTATCGATAATATTTTTTAAATTTATTGTATCTATCAATTTTAACTATCAATTCTGATTAATAAGATTGTTCGAATAATATGGAAAATATTAGAAATACATTAAAATCAATCGTTATTATATTAGATCATTTTTAATTATTTAATCATATATATGTCAAAATAAAACAATTTTTATAACTATATCTAATCTACATAATTTATTGTGAAAAAATCAAAAATCGAAAACTTTGTATACTAGCTCGAATTTTCTCTTCCTCTTGTATGTGATTCCTTCAAATATATCGACCAAATAAATATACCCCTACCTTCGTCCCTTTCATTTTTATTGGATGTCATCTTGGTAACATTGCACAGTGATCATCATCAATCCGGCAAATAAAAACAGTTGCTTCGTTAAATATCGGTAAAAAAAGAAGACGATGGATAGAATTAATTCTTGTGGTACGAATTTATCGATGATGGATAAACAGTCTGAAAAACCACCACCGTTTAAATTATGCTTTTCCAAAGATAGATTACTTGGCAAATCAAACATACGTGTATCGAAAATCAATGGTAGGTATATTTTTTGCTCGATTTTTAAAACGCTTCAAATATGCGTGATATCTTGTATTTCTAATTATATTATTTTAACAACGAAATAAATTAAATTAAATTAAGACAGTGGTATAATTTAGCATTCTATCGAACAATCATAAAAAATATCGTATTCGAAAAGGTATATATCGATTGAAGTATTTATAATTTTTCGTAGTTTTCCTTTTTAATTTTCTCTTTAATATAGGAGAAAATAGAATTAATCAAATTTTTCATTGAAATAATATCAAATATAGCAACTATTCTACTATTGAAAATAACAAAATGAAATGTTATTTAACTTTTGAAAATTTTGCTTATTTTATTATAGTTTACCATTTTTTTATATATTTTTTTATATATACATATATAGAAAATTTATTATATTATATATTTTGAAGAAATAGGAATTATATAATGAATCATAAAATTTAGATTCTTTATCTTTTATTCTACAATAATGGACAACATATTTGAAAATTTCGAGAAGATTGAATGTCTTGTTTTTTCCTAGTTTTCCTAGTAAAAGTTTATATATATATATATTTTAGATGTTTTTAATTGGTTAATAACGAAATGATGGAGTTAACCAATCGGAAACTCACTTCCGCACGTTCCAAATTGCCTCGTCAATGTCACATCTTTAATATACTTTTTCTAAAGTGCAGGGATGCGAATTGGTAGAAAAATTTCCCTAAAACTTTTAAAAACATGGTTTTCTCTAGATCCAAAGTTTCTGATGCGCGTGATTTAATATTGGCTGACTTCACTTCGAGGATTCTTCGAAAATATTGATTTACGATATAATGTAATCAATTATTGAAAGCATAAACGAAAAACATTCATATGTGTTGTATAAATAAAATTTTAAAACAGTTTTCCTTAAAAAATAGGTTTTTCAATTATTGTGTATAAATTAATTAGCCATTGAATATTTGTTTCATTGACAATTTGATTTATATTAAATTATATTTTATTATTTTATTATTATATTTTGGAAAATTTATTCAATTCCCATATATTTTTTTCTTTTCTTTTTTTTTTTTTTTCGAATTTTCGATAATTTTAACTGGCATTTTATTAAATCTTTCATTTCAATTGAGACAAAATTTTCTAGTAAATATAAAATGCATACATATAATTCAAATTTTTCAATTGCACATTTAATGAAAATAATTTTTTATATCTAGTGTAGATATTTAGATTAGACATAAATATTTGTCATTGTTTCATTATTATTATTTTGTACCACTTAGAATAATCATTATGGATGATATCATTACAGGTGATTTGATCACGCCAAAATATTATTCGAAGTACGAGAATACGCCAGAGAATTTTAATGCGATTGATACGCATGAAAAAAATACGGAACAGAAGGAAAATAATTGTGATTATAGAAAAGGACCAGCCATACTTACTAGTTATGCGTAATTTGAATTCTCTTAAGGAAACGAGATTACAGATTTCAATTCTGATTTTTTTGTGTTTTAATTTTAATTTTTGCTTTTCAATTTTAGATACGGGTGGTGGTATGAACGGGGATTACGACCGATTGAATCTCGACTCGATTTTCGTAAAAAAACAACAGACTTAATAAATTTTGGAATAGACACTAATAATGCGGAAAATCGAAAATTTAGAAATTTAAAGCAATAATGTAAAAGTATCTTGCATACGTATTTATATGTTTGCTTTTCTAATCTAATATTTTATTATCTAATTTAAAATGTGTGTATTCATTCATCTATTAAAAGTAAACAAAAATTAATTATAATACGCAAACTTATCTGGTGAAATTGAAAGAGATTTTTCGATTTTAAGTTGGTCGTTAGTTTCTAAGGAAGCATTTATTTTCAAAAAGCACAGCAGCGCCGAGCGGATGTATCAGATAGCAACAGTTGCCGCGCAATCAATTTCTTGATTTCCCGCCATCTCGAAATATATATAATACTGACCAATCAGATACAAGACTAACGGAATATCTCGAATCGTCACGAGCGATTCGAGCAATTGGAACTTACCTCTAGCGATTGTTTTCTGTACGTACAACCAGTAGCGATTGAAAAAACGGTGTTGTGACGGGATTCCGCCAAAAATGAATTCCGGCGTGGCGGAACACACGAGACTTAGCGAAGATTGCTTGGACAATTCTGAAGAATTCTCACCACCTGAAAGGTAAATTAATTTCACGGCAATCCCCCATTTTTGTAAAAGAAGCCCTGAATCATAGCAAACGTCTCTCTTACCTGTTACTCAGGATGATGCAGGTGCGTTATTTCGCGCGCATAGGTAAGGTTAAGAACCTCTGCCAGTGGTGAGTTGTGAATTGTATTCACAAGATATAGTAAATGTTCATCTTTTTATCGTTGCTTATTAGTTTTTTACGTGAAGTGAGAAAAAGACTAAATTTATAAATTTCAAATTTATTAATTGAACATATAGAAAACATTTTTTTTCCAAATTATTCTCTTCAGATCTAATTAGATTAATTGCTCTATGATTTGAAAAAAATTATTTTCTATTTCCATTGTAATAATTAGCAAATTATTATTTTAATTAGTAAAATATTATTTTACTTGATTTAACGTTTTTTCTTTTATATTATTATAATTTTTTTAGAATAGTAAAAAATTGAATTTTTCTTTTTTTTATTGTAAAAACTTGAGATATAGAAATATTTCGTACTTAAAAATATTCAATTAAAAAATTTATTAATTCCACATTCCTGTATCATCTATTAAATTATTTTTTTATAGTTTTTATTGATGATATATCATTCTAATCGTTAAATATTAATATAATTAGTTATTAATTAAATAATTTCTAATATTAATAATCAAAAAGTATTAAATGAATTGTAAATATAAATTTTGATAAAAATAAATCTGTATTTTTATCCTATCAATTTTTTATTATATTTGGAACTATAAATGTTATGTATGTTCAGCTCAATAACGACCTTAAGTCAGTTAATCATTTGTAAATATTAAACTGTTTATAATTTAAATTAAACATAATCTTTGCCAACTGCCATTCTGTATGCTTCTTATGTTCCAAACCTGTACACATTTGTGACACAAAACATACTTGGTTAAGGGAAGACTCTGGAATTACTATGTCAGGACCGCCTTCTTCACCCTGGTGGAACAGGTTGCCTTTTTTATTTTCTTTCTTTGTACCTAGCTATATATGTAGTTAAAAGTTTTTTCAAGAGTGCTTAATAATTAATCTTGTTTCTACAAATATGTCTTATAGCAAACGGCTACGCCTAGATGACAGTTGTAACAATTTAAATGATACCTTAAATAATGCTTCCAAAAATAATACAAAATGGTCATATTCAGGAGATGCAAATCTTGTAGAACCAGAAATTTTAGAAGATATGGGTGTTAGTATGTTAGAAGATGAAGCATCAAGTTATGAAAGTACAAAAAAGACTGATTCTCTGGAACGGACAACTTCGCCAATTATTTCAGATAACAGTGGACAATGTGATAAAATTAATAATTTTCAGAGTCAAGAAAATATTTATAGAGGTTCCAGCTTTGATACTGTCAGTATAGACAGGTTTGTATTTTAATACAATCGTGCATTTTTTCACTTATTTTATATATATTTCATATATTTTTATATAATTTTCTATAGCTTTGAAGCTACTCGAAGATTAGATCACGATCCATATGAGTCTGATGAACTTACAACATATTCAACGATTGGAAATGAATCTGGTTATTCTTCTAAAATGGAAATAGATAATTTAATTGATACAAAAGAAACCTTTTCAAAAAATGACCTTAATGATTCTTCTGTAAAAAGTAGTCTTGAACAATTTTATCTCTATAGAAGGAAAAGAAAACCTTCAATTGTTGGTGAAGATAAATTTAACAAATTATCTGATGAAATGATTTTAATGATACTAAAATGGCTTCCAAAAAAGTGTTTGGTAAGATAATAAGTTAATAAAAAAAATAATAAAAATAATTTATAGATAAAGCAAGGATAATATTATTTATATAATTTTATATATACATTTCATGATTATTAATTTTAGGTACGTTCCATGTTGGTTTGTAAACGATGGTGTCAAATAGCGCGAGATGAAGCATTATGGAGCAGATTGGATTTAGGCAGCAAAGTATTAAATGAAGGTACATTAGGTCATATATTACCAAGAGGTGTGCAAATACTTCGACTTGCACAAGCAGAAATTGCAGATCCTGTATTTCTTGAGAATAGTGAAGTTCTTACCGATGGTTACATTAGTAAATTACAGTATTTAGACCTCTCGATGGCGGTAATTTCATCAAATGGATTGGCCATGTTACTATCTAAATGTAAATACCTTAAAAAATTGTCTCTAGAAAAGTGTATAGTAAATAGATTGTGTTGCAAAGCTATTAGGGATAATAATGATTTAGAAATATTAAACTTAACAATGTGTGAGGGTTTAGACATTGAATGTATCAAGAATTTGATGAAACTTAAAAAGTAAGGAAAATTATTTACAATAATATCAATTATAGAAAAAAAATTTAATAATTCTAAGTAATTTACTTATTTTTTCCAGTCTTAATGCTGTCAATATGGCTTGGTGTAGTTTAGATACTGAGACTATGACATTACTTTGTAAATCTTTGCCTCCGTCCGTTACACGTTTAAATATTGCTGGATGCAGAAAAACTATGACAGATGATAGTAAGTATAATATTATATTTAAAAAAAAATTTGTGTTATGCCAATTAATCATTCTTTTTATATCTTATTTCAGATGTCAAGGATTTAGTAAAAAGTTGTCCAGATATGATAGAATTAGATTTGAGTGATTGTACTATGCTTACAATGAATACTGTTCGTAGTTTACTTGATTTGTCAAAATTAGAACATTTGTCGCTAAGTCGTTGTTATGGTATACCTCCTTCAACATATGTAACATTGGCATATATGCCATCTTTGCTATATTTGGATGTTTTTGGTGTAATACCTGAACCAGTACTAAAAACATTACAAGTTACCTGTGGTGAAACTCAACTTAATAAATATCTATATAGTTCTGTTGCAAGACCAACAGTTGGTGTTCGAAGAACAAGTATCTGGGGGCTTCGTGTTAGAGATTGAATGAAACTGTAACATTTATCTATATATTTAGCGGTAAATAATCAATTTAATACCAAAGGGATATTGAAATGTACTTGTGTGCCTTTCTATTAAGTGTCTTTTTAACAAAAGACTGATCTTATGGTACCATCAAAATAAAAGCAATACATTTTTTGTATAAAATTCTGTTTGTCTCTTTTTCTATTTTCTTTTTTTTTATAATTAAAATATATTAAGTTATAATCAATTTTCCAATTTGTATTAAACAAAACGAAACATAAATAGAGTGAAATAATTCTATTTTCGTTATATATACTATTATCTTGCTTTATTTAATATAAACTCAAATTGCTTATAATTAACAGTAAATTAATAATAATTAATAATAAATAAGTTTCAATTGATATTTTTGTATATTAACTTTTATATTTGTTTTAATCTTTAAATTCGATCTTTCAAAAGTATTTACAAATATATTAATATTTTGTAGAATAATCTTAAAAAAATTTGAGTCTTTTCCATGAATGAAATAAATCAAAATATAATGCATGTATTGATCAAAACATAAAAGAAGAAATAAGATAATCATAAGAAATTAATAATAAAAAATTAAATAATATAATATTTATTATGAAAACATATAATAATGAAATATAATAATATATAATAATAACTTGAATATATATTTACATATTAAAGCATGAATACAAATATATGAAATTTATAATATATATACAATATATACAATTTATAAATTTATTTTTTAAAAATTATTTCTTTTATTTGCAATAAAAAATTTTAATTTGTTCCTTTCTTATTAAATAATTTTAACATATTTTTGTTTATATGATAGTTTTTGTGTTTTAAAATTCTATATATTATATTCTTATAATTACATTTACTTTTTGTTTTTAATCTAATGCTTTCATATATTAGTAATATGTATTTATAGTGTAAGTATTTTATAACATTTCTTTTTTAATGATAGCTATTTTTTTTATCATTTTAAAGAACTATTTTTGTTCTTTTCAAAGACATATTTTTTACCATATTTAAATCAAGCTATGCTGATTTATACATTTCAATAAATAAATGAAATATTAAAATAAATGAAAGCTTCTATTATATTATTTAGATCAAACATTTTTATCAATATTAATAATTTTTTTTCTGCTGAAGGTTGATGGTTTTTTTTCTTTTATATCTTTATGATATTAATGATATTTAACTGAAATGTATATTTCAATAGCTTATTTTTTTCATAATAATTTTATTGCAGACTTTACATTTGTTTTGTATGATCATTGCATTTTCCAAGCAAGAATTTCAAATCTCTCTTCCAATCATGCAAATGATTATTTCTTCTTTTTTCTTAGAAAAAAAAGGAGAAAATCTTTGCTATTACTATAGCTATCATCTATGAAATATCTATAAAATATCCATCTATATTTATATATCCATATTATATATTATAAATTTTAAATAATTTTTAAAATATATTAATATAAAAATAATGTCCATTATTTATCTTA